CACATCTGTCCACATGATATCCAATTTGCAAATTTGCTTTCACAATAACTTTTAGAACCTATATTTAACTTACAAAACTGATAATTTGCATGACTTATACTATACATCAAACTAAAATTTAACACCTAAGTATTTCTGTGTTGAAATCCAAACTAGGAATTCATTGTCAAATTTTAAACGAGGTTTTGGCACTTTATTACTGCGTAATAACATTGATAATTTTTTGAAAATTAAATTTTAATTTATTTTTGTTACCCCATTCTATAACTTTTATAGGTGTTTCATTTAGTTTCTTATTCGTAGTCATTTATATCTTGTCATTAAAACCATATCATTTCCAAAGCTTTCAATTTGGAGTTTTCAATTCCTTTAAGCAATAAATTAAACATTATATTCCACAGAAAAGCTGACAACACACCAACAGGAGATCCAGAAATACCCAATGAGTCTTATCCAAAAGTCCAAAAGAAAGTAGACATTTAAGGTCAGATTTGTTTGATGGAATACTACAAAGCAATTTATGGACTATCTGCTAATGTATCCGAGAGGACTTTCTATGGGTACTACCTTTGTTTAGGTTACTCCCGCTACTTTCATTCCATATTTGATACCTGTACAGTTATTTTGTAATTAATTTACTAATAAAAGGCTTTTAATTCTGTTAGTTATATAATAAAACTTGGAAAATTTCATATGGATAATAGTTATAATGATTGAGTACGTGCAAGGTGTTATAAAAAGCTCTTTGAATGTCCAGAAATAGTGCAACAGTATTTTTATTTATACGGAAACCAGCATTTATGAAATTAGGCAAATTAAGTATTGGATCTTCAATATATTTTCTTCTTTTAAAACCATAGGTCTACTGTCTATAAATAATAGTTATTTTCATTTGATTTTTAGTTTAATCTGCCAAAGCTAATTTTCTCAAAAATCTCTCTAATGATTAGTAAAAGACTGATTAGTCTGTAGATCTGTGTCAGAATTTTCTTGTTTCTTCAATAAGATAAGTTTTTCGACGTTTCAACATTTAAAAAAAATAATTAATATTTTATATAAAATATTCATTAAAATATAAAAACACTTATAATATTTCACAAAAGCTATTTTCTTCAGCTCGTCGCCATTTTGTTTCAAGATGGTGGTGCCTAGTAATTATATATATCATTTTTTTTTTAAACTAAACAATATAAAATATTCAGTTTTAAGATGTATACAAATATAAAATAATTTAAAATTATGTATAAATTTAAGAAATTTTTACAGTTTAAACAAATAATTTTTACGCCATTTTAAATTTTAAAAATCAAACATTATCTGTTTAATTAAAATTAATAAGAGCAATAAATTTATAATAAAAAGATCTCTTCCAATTAAAAATAAATTAATTAAATTGAAAAGAATAAAAGGAAAGGGAATTAATATTTTGCTCAAGTTCAGTAAAGTTGCTATAAACATTCATGTTTATAGCAACTTCACTGAACTTGACGTAATAAAAATTTCTGAGAAAGTAACTTTTAATATTTAAATAATAAAACTATTACATTTATTTTATTTTTAAATGTTAAAACCGGTTACTTCTGCACTTTAACTTCCGGGAATCGCCTACTTTATCTTCTATTCAGTTCACTCTAGTACTATCTTTAACATAAATTTATGTATACTTATACGTTATAAATTTATTTTAAACTTAATAAAGTTTTTTTTTTAAAGTGAATTTTATATAAGAGGCATTGATGAATTTTCGTGTATCAAGGAGAAAAACGTGGCTTATATAAACTGATAAATTGAATAGCGAATGGAACTATTTAACTGAATTTTATACTAGAATATGATAGAAATTTATTAATTTTATTTACTAATATTTTATGTATTAATCATCATATATATTTTTTTTATATTAAGAATTATGATTTACTATTATTTTTATTTAGAACAGTCGAAGAATTATCGTTTTATGTGCATAAAATGGCATAGAAAATGCACTTTTATGCACATAATTCGGTACATAAAAGTGACTGAAGAAAGACCAACTGAAAAGTCATTAAAATATAATTTAAATTCTGATTTATTTGAGGAATATTTCATTGAATTTACTACATCATTATCTAAATTAGGTAAGAAAAATAAACATATTCAGATATTTTTAAACCGGGTCTAACAAATCCAAAGATTCCATACAGCATGTAGCATAATCGTGATTACTACAGCAATTTAAATACACAATGATTATTAACTTTCCTTATTTAGATAGGTTTATGAATAATCTAAATGTACAATACATAATAAAAAAATCAATTACATAATAACACATATCACGATAAATTATATTTTAAAATATTTATTGTAACTATATTAAAAAATATATATATATATTATGTTTAATATTCAACACCCGGAATCATCTTATAACAATTTCATTTTACCTTCTCCAATATTAAATTTATAAACGTATTTGTATGTAAATATATACAATAAAACCTGTGTAAACCGGACTGGTACTGTACCGAATATTGCTTCCGTTTTAAACAGGTTTTACAGTATAAAAATATCGTCAAGAATATTTATAAAATATAAAAATTTTAATTCGAAAACAGTAAATTTATTATTTTTAGTTGCGATTTAATTTATTTTTTACATTACATAATCCAGTAAAGTATTATATTATGCCGATTTATATTATTAAAATGTATATTAGACTTACAGACAGATCATTCAACGCACATATTCACATCCTCACCTCTTACACCTACACTTAAAAATATAGTGAGGAACATAAATACGCACGTGAACATACTTAAAACTTATAGATCTGTAATAATTAGAACATATAAAAATCACTGTCAGCGCTCTAAAATTAGTATCACAAATGAAGCCAAAATTTTATTTATGTACATCTATTAATATTGTTCGATAAAGTTAACAGGAAACATTGTAAAATAATAATTTTAGGAAACCAGGAAAAAGTTCCCGTGTTGGGAATTTTTAACGTCACACCCTAAAATTAAAAAAAAAAAAAAAGGAAATTCTGTTATCTAAAGTAATTTCACTTTATTGCCATCCGTCTTAAATTACAGTGAAATATATTTTAACCTTTTATTTAAAGAGGGAACACAGAAAAATATTTAAACATCACTGTAGATAATACTTATCTAAATGACAAATTGAAAAATTGTCGTGTTATTGAAGAGTTCAAGGATCAATTTTTCTCTTTTTTTTGTCAGCCATATTGAAAGTCTATTCTAATAATAANTATATATATAATATATTTCAAAATTATTTTGTATGCAAAAATAAGAGAGGAATGTTGCACTTTCTCCTCTAAAAATAGCATCAAAGAAATGAAAAGAAAGTCGAATTAACTTTAGTTTTATGTATAAACAATAATATATCTTATAATAATTTTGAGACAATATAGTGATTTAAAGAAAGCCGAAAAACAATTTTCGTAATTCATTTTCTCTGCTTTAAAAATGTGGTGATATTAATTTTTTACATGCAGTTTACTTGTCATGCAACACACACTCATCAAATAATAAATAAACAAATAAAACGTTTATCACTACTTCTATTGTATTTTTTAATATGAAGAGTTTGTCTATTGTTCAACTTACAAAACGCTGTTAATGTATTTTAGCAATACCAGTTTGCATCGACTATTAACCAACACTGACAACACAACGTCCAACGTTCTACCAGAAGTTGAAACGGGGACAATCGCATGATTTGCCTCAGGTTTTGTTTACTTTTAGATACGGTCAATATGTGATTTCGATGGATATTGAGAAAGTGAGGACCATTTTTAGGTCTAATTTATTCTTGCTCCCTGTAATGGGTATGCAAATACAAATGCAAATCAGCCTATTTACATGCCCATAATAAGACAAGATGGTATTGTAATCCAAAAAATTAATAATAATAAATTTAAAAATCACTCACATTAAAATACAGTAAAACTCAATTTTTGAACATAATTTATTCCTAAAAGTTGTTCGAAAACCAAATGTTCCCATAAAAAACAATATAAAATGGATTAATCTGTTACTAACTCCTAAAACAGTCTGTTTTTTTTTTACCTGTTTAGCTGTATCTCCTGCAAAAAAAAAGGTCTACAAATGCAATATATATATAATATAATATTAATAAATTTTTATTATTTAATTTAACTTAAGCATATTTAAACACAAATTCTTGGATGACATTTATATTATGTGAATGGCAATTAATGCAGTTTTTATTAATTAATTTTGATTTAGATTCAACTGTGAGGCATACCAAAAAATGGAAATACTGTCTTTTCTGTATATACACATTTAAATCTAATTTAAATAGAATCATCATTAATGATTTGTATCACAACATTTAATGATGCAAAGCAATCAAGGCCCCACTAATTTCTGAATCGGTAGTCCTGTCATTGATTGGTCAGCCGTTAGACTTTCTTTAACATAAGTCGTATAGAGTGTTGACCATCTCTCTCTCTCTAATCTGTTTAATCTCTAATCTTCTCTGGCTGAGAAGCTTGTTTGACAACCGAGTTATCGTACCGCAACCAGTGCAATAATGAGTTTGAAATTCTGTTAATGAACTAAAATGTTTAAAAAGGAAGGCGTTCAAAAACTGAGTTCTGACTGTAATTTAAAAATTAATAATTGTAACTGTGTTTAGCTAATTATTATCATCACGTTCTAAACCTATAGCTATGAACTGGTAAATATCCAAGAATATCATATATCAAAAGTATTACTTTACACAACAAATTTCTATATAAAATCTGTATTTTCTTTTTATAAATTTTCACAATCTTTTGCACTACTCCTCTTAAAAACATATCTGCATCGAATCTCAAAAAATTCTAGTATAACTACAAAACTGCATTTCAATCTTCCATGAACTTCTATACGTGTATTACATTGTAAATTTACATTCAGAATGCTCAAAGTATTCTTATAAAATTAAATAAATTAATTTTTGTATAACTGAAATAAATTTTTCCAAGAATAATTAAAAACTTTATTGCAGTAGTTGACATATATCACAAAGTGTACATGGATAATAGGAAAAAAGAAAATCAATAAAATCAGAAATTTTGTACAAATGACCATTTTACTTGGTATACTTACAACATTTACAAACTTTAAAAATAAAAAAAATGTACACATATTAGTAATAAATTGTCTGAATATTATGAAGAGTATATTTTTCAATGAATTGTATGTGTAAATGCATAAGAACAAATAACGGAAAATGACAATGAAAAATACTTTATAAACAATGACAAAAGAGACTTACTTTCTCTGTATTATTATATGACTTCTTGTTCGTTAATCTCAAGCAATTCATCTGGAAATTGCAAGACAATAGAGAATTGTTAAGAAATAACTAACTGATATGAGCCTGCTCATATACTGAAAAACATTACTATAATTTTTTGAAATTATATTCATCTATTTTAAGAGATACATTGATACAATGTGTAAAAAACACTTTACATACAATATAATTTATATATAAAGTTTAAGTGCAAGGCAAAACTTACTTTATAGTCTAGTTTTTAACATTCAACAAATTTAATTCTTTACTTAACTTCTGTCTTCAGATATTCTGCAACAAATTTATTATCAAAAAAAATTTCAATTTTAAAAATTGTTTGCTAGGGAAAATAAACTTTATACAATGAAACAGCATCGGACTTCAAAATAACAAAAGTCAAAATGAATTTTTCTTAATGAAATGAAATGCCATATTTAATACAACAGTATATTTTTTATGAATCTTTATTGTAAATGTTATCAATTTTTAACTTGTAAGTTAAATGTTTCTATATCAAAAGATTATATAGTAAATAATTTTCTATTTGTCGATCAATTTTGCATAAAAATTTCTAAATTTATAATTCTTTTCTACATATTATTTGGCCATATCACAGTTTATATTTTATAAAAGTTAATCATCCACAATTTCAATTTCTTCCCAAGAATTCATAATGGCATTAGGTTCTTCTACTTCACAGTACAGTGAATCTAATTTAGTATCTTCTGATACGTCTTTAGGAGTTTCGACGATATCTGAAGTGTTGGATATGGAACGTCGAACAAGTCCTAAAGCATTCAACATGCTAGGACTGTCGTCACTTTCTACAAATAATATAGAAAACCATGTTAATTATTTGTAAACATTAAAAGTACTTGATATAAATTAATAAAAATGATACAAACCTTTTAATTCGGTATTCAATTTGTTATGAACAGCATTACATGGATTTATTTGATTTGCTTTGCTGGTTATTGGTTTTAATGCTGAAGATGTCACTTCAGCAATCTTAATGTTAAAATCATTACCTAATTTTGGATAAATTTGTTTTTCTTTATTCTGAGTATCAGCTTTGTTTAGCAGAACTGATTTCATTGTTAGTGTACAATGTTTATTGGAAGTTTTTTCTTTAATTTCACTCTCAGTAACTAACTTTGCATTTCCTTTTGTTTCGGATACATCCAAAAGTTTTTCATTTTGAATAGATTTTGCAGGTGAAATTGGTAATTTTCTTTCTTTAGGACTTTTATCAATATGCCAAAATCCATCGGCTACTTGTTTAATCACCGTTATCATACTTTTCGAAGAATTTGAAATATGGCAACTTCTTTTTTTACAATTTACCAAATGTGTTGCTGATGAAAAAAATTCAAATAATAAAATTAATTTAAAAATAGTAGTATTCATTAAAATTTCAGATATAATTTACATACCTATCACATTTCCATCAGTGGATGAATATCCACATGCGCAGTTCACAGGATACTTCAATACAATAGGTTTCAGATCCATTGCCATATTTTTTCCAGTCCTTTTCAATTTTGAATGCTTCATTATCATATGGTCAACAAAAGCTTTACAACAATTAGTCGAATAATGACAACTTCCACAACTTAGAAATCTCCTAATAAAATTAAATAAAGCATCATCATCATATTTACATATCAGTAAATAACTGCATACTTTCTAATCATTACTATACAATTTGAATTAATAGAGCAACAAGTAAGAATACTTCATAATCAAAATTTACTGAAACTTACCCGAAATGTCTGAGAGTCATGGGACGACCACATTCGCAACATTTATAAGACGGCATATTCAAGCTTTCTATATTAGATGAACTTATTTTAGTATTTGATGGTTTAGGAGGATTAGGTGGATTAGGAGGATTTTCTGCTGTTATCTCACATTTTGTACTTGTTACGACACTGGCAGGATAAGACTTATTTGATTTTTCTTCTAACTTTTCAGCCACTGGCACCACAAAATTTGATTTGAACGGTTTTACTCCTAAGTAAAATTAAAATAGCATNAATATTCATAGCGATAAAAATGATATAATTTTTACATGTTGAAATTTGAATTTATTATAATGAAAATAAAGATATTTTAATCTAGTTTTACTGAAGAAATTACTACAAAAACTAACGATTTTCCAAGGTATATAAATTTAAAAAATGAAAAACAAATTACAACATTATCTGATAAAATGGCTAATCCTTCGATTCGAATGGTTTCTAATTCAAGAATAATGTCCTAAATAAAATCGTGTGATAATAAATTTTAGCATTTAGAAATGTCTTAAGTTAAAAATATCTGTTAAGACATGATAAAGTGCAGAGTTGAATCAACACCATGAAAGCTGGTCATCTGGATGACTTGTGATGTTATTGAGAGAAGATTACTTTCGTGAAAACTTTTTAATTTTATGCGAGTTGAATTAAAAATATTTTAGGACAATTAAAGACTTATATAATTTAACTTTATTCGTGATATAAAAAGTATGATGTTTTTTTTAAAATTCAGAATATTTTTTTCTGAATAAGACTTCCCCCTTTTCCAGAAACAGAACACCAGTATAATAAGTCCTAAGTAGACATTAATGTAATAAAAATTTTCCTAATTGTTTTGAATGTAATATAAGAGGCAGTGAAACCTGCATATTAATTTTCCTTCTGATTCGTCTTGCTATATGACACGGTGAACCAGATAATTTCCGGTAATGACTGAATCTGTCTTCCGTGACACCACTTTGTATTTTTCCTAGAAGAAAATACGAGAAGTTTAACTGTTCAATACAATATCGCGAAAATTCTAAAAGTTTATATGTTATATGTAGTAGAGCTTATCTCTTTAGAAAATGTGCCACTGGTACACTGTATACTGTTTAGAGAGATACATGTTTTGCCATATGTCGAGCTTAAAAAAGATATACGTCTCTTACATTTTATACTATTGTAATTAGCTCTTTGTATACATTTTTCAGACGAATTCCTATGTATAGTGTCTTGACATTGACAATTTCAAACTAACAAGTAAGTGCCGTTGATTCATAATCAGAAATATGTCGTGCCCTAATTTTTGCAAGTCTACAGAAATAATTATGTATTAAAAAAAAGGGTTACATTTTGTCTTTCTATAATGGAACGATTAAATGATTTTAAACTCAAATCAAATTCATGTTTAATTAGAGCTTCACTACAGTTCTGATGCATGTTTGAGAGTTGCGAAGGGTGCATTGACCAATATACGATATTTTTCACCTTCAGAAAAATTATCACTGGAAGAAAAAACGCTACATTCGGGAAAGTAAAGATTCTGAAGTGGTTTTTTTTATTGTTTAACAGATTATTTCTGATAAATTTTACGATATGTACGTGTAAGAACGCCGATTGGGGAGGAGATTTTGCCCCCGGGCCGAATTGGAAAGAAAACTTTTTTCACGGGCCGAACATGAGGATGCCCTAGGAAAATTTTGAGGTGGTGCGAGATCTCATTGTGGTGTCACCCCGTAGAGACTAAATTGTACAAAGAGATTACAGATACATTTTTCACATTATCATGCTTTATCAATGTTCTACGCTGTACTTAAGAGATTTATAATGGAGGTTTAACTCTAACCAGACAGCGAGTTGTTGACCTAGTTTTTTGCTTTTTGTTTTAGGCGTTAGAATTCTCACCTATCTATTCTGACTTGAGTAGCTAATATTAAAAGATTAATCGCGAACCACATAAATCCATTACACGGGCCACATCCGGCCCGCGTGCCGTATGTTGGCCATGCCTGGTCTAAGGTCTACGCGTATGTGGGTGGCGGTTTTAAGAGGCAAAGTACTACAATGTAGGAAAATAATGTTGATGAAGTTTTTATAAAACGATACGCACAAAGAAATAAACCAGCAACGAGTTGCTTATCTTTCCCAGCAACATTTAAATTTTTCGTGGCGCCATCTATTATCATATTTCATTAAAAAAAACTTTTTATATTTTTAACTTTTATAAAATGTCAAAAAGCTTAATGTTGAGGGTAAGGATGAGTTTTATAATAAAATTGTAAATGCTAATATAATTCATAAAGACATAAGCTCTTATAACATCATGCTTGATAACAAGAAAGGAGCACAGTTAATCGATTTCGGTCTCTGCACAGTAATTAGTGTATAATACAATATCCTAATTTTTATTGAATATTAAATTCTTATTGATTAATTTTTTTTCTGTCAGTTTGATCGTAATTCCAAAGAATTTTGCTGTGTTATCTTTGTCCAGAAATTCTTGAGAAAAAGCCTTATGGTACGGAGTTCTATTCGAATTCAATCACATCATTTGGTTCACACTCGTGTAATCAATATATTATTTTTAGATGCTTACTGCGATTTGGTTGGGCATTTGCTACCGTGTTATACCAAATGTTAATTGGAGGCTCTAATAAGGTTCTAATTATATTTATAATTAATTGATTTTAAATTTTATATTTTAATTAATTATTTAAACTAATCATTGTAATTAAAAATAAACTGAATTGTATCTTGTTGTTTGTGTGTTGAATTTTTTTCGATAAGCAATTTTGTCTTCCTTTTCTGTCGTTTCAGCCCCCTTAACTCTCTCCTTCTCCCTATTTCCCTTCTTATATGAATATTCCTGACCACAGTTAAGAAGAAATTTCGATTGCGTCCTAACTCACCATATTTAAAGGTATGTTTATCCGTGTGGTAGGATAGGATTAATTAAGAGAGCGTATACAGATACAACATTAACTATGTTGAACAAATGTAAATTAAAGAGATATATGAAAAACACGTATGTTCAGTGTTCATACTAAGTTACAGCGCTTCCATTCCATAATTTTTATGGCCATTAAATAATAAATGGCGGACGGATGGCCGAGCGGTCAAGGTGGCAGCCTACCGCTCTGGGGGGACCCGGGCTCGAATCCGAACGGGTCGAAAAAATCCCCAGGAATTTTTCGGGGGGGTAGTCCGTTCAGATATGTCGGGTCCCGTCCCTCACCACCTGGCAGCCCCATTGTGAGCCTGGCCGAATCCATAATGGGCTTGCAAAAAGAGGCCCTCTTAGTGCCCACAGGGCGGAAAGAGTTAAAAATAATAATAATAAACGGTTTTTAGAAGATCCGCTACTTGTTTAAACTCAACAGTTTGTGCAATATCCGCTATTGGTCTAGATTCGACCAATCCTGTCGCGAGACGAGTGGGCGATGACGTTTTACCGCATTTTACGAGTTTCTTTTAGCATCTTTGTACGAATACGGTCGCAATATTTTCGCCGCGATATACGAACTCGCATTATATAAACGCGTTTTATAGGGGTCTATTGCATTTATTTTTTAGAAAATACAAGGGAAACGGTGCTTCCACCGCTTCCAACGACGGCACGCCACTGATACATTGTATACAAAGATGATTGCTTGTAGGTTATAATTTTGTTTATAAAACGTATCTAAGATTTGTATTTTTAGACGTTTTTAAATAAATTTCTAACTATAATTTGGGGTAATTTAACAAGAGTTATACCCCAATTAAGTAGCGATAGATTAAACAATTATTACAATATCAAATTACATATAGTTTCATCTGTGTAAAATTACTTCTACATACAGGCAGAAATAGAATTATGTTGTAACAAGCTTATACAAGGATTTTTCCAAGTAATTCTAACTTAGATTTATTACTTTAAAGCTAATATATTTGATTAAAATGTACATGTATACTGTACAATAGTGTATTGAAGATATAAACATGCAATATGGTTTCTTTCAGTGGCATAAATGTTCTTATATTTGACTCTCATTAAGATTTTTAGAATAAATATGACTTTAAAAACAGTATTATAATTAAATTAAAATTGATGATAAAGAAACTTTCATTTTGTTTTTTATTAAAATTAATTTTTTAGTAGTAGTAATCCCATCTTTGGCTAGCCATTCACTGCCTAATTTTCTATAACCATTTAAAGTTTAATTAAATTATTTTTTAACATTTTTATAAGCTTTTTCCCCTTTATAAAATTCTATACATAGGATCTCTTTAGACAATAGGCTATATATATAAAATATATTTCAAAATTATTTTGTATGGAGCATTATCTTCATATAAAAACCCTGTAGAAAATTTTAAAAAA